GCCGTTGGAGAGCACGAGCCGGTAATCGCCGGCAGTACTTACGGTATAGGTATTGGTTGTTGCCGCTGCTATGTCCACACCATTACGTTGCCATTGATAAGTAATGCCCGTTGCCGGTGCAGGGCCGGTCAGTAATACCGTGCTGCCGGCGCAGGCAACCGCAGATCCTGTTAAGGTAACAGTAGCCACAGGTGCAGGAAGTATGGTAACCGTACGGATGAAGGATGTATCTGCACAAGTGCCATTAGATACACGCACCCGGTAGTTGCCAGCCGCGCCCGTTGTATAAGTATTATTGGTAGCACCTGCGATCACCGCATTGTTCAGCAGCCATTGGTAAGTACGGCCGGTTGCAGCCGGTGCTGTAAGCGTTACATTACTGCCGGAACAAACTGTTGCAGATAATGGCGATACGGTTACCGAGGTATCCGGCCTTGGTACAACCGTAACCGTAACGGCTGCCGATGTGGTATTACACGTGCTGATAGAAGTGACAACGGTATAGCTGCCGGATGCAGTAGCGGTATACGAAGCGCTGGTGGCGCCCGGAATATCCCCTGTACTATTCTTCCACTGGTAAGAAAGGCCAGTAGCTGTATTGGCATTCAATACCACTGAAGCCGGTGCGCAGAAGGTGGTGGCACTGGCCGCAGTAATAGTTGCCACAGGCGGTACACATTGTGTTACAAAGGAAATGGTCACCCAACCTGAAAAATTGGAACCACAGTTGGTACGCACATGCATATAATAAGTGGTAAAAGGCAGCAAGGCTGCGGCATTATAAGTAACCGCAGTTGTAGCCGTTCCGGCGCCGGTAGGGTTGGTGCTGATCTGGTCGAGTACATATTCATAACCAACGGCACCTGTTACAGCAGTCCAGGAAAGGGTAGCGGTAGCAGTACCAACGGGTGATGCGGTAAGGCCGGTAACAGGAGCGCAGGGAGCTGAGCCAAATTCATACGCGCCCATATCCGGTGTGGTGGCGCTGCGCGTCAGTCCCAGGATGTCTGTAGTAACGGCAGTCGGCGTGCCCAGGTCATTCAGGGTAACAGCGCTGGGTTGGAAATTGCCTGTTGCCGGCGCCGTGAAGGCGGGGTCAATCGAGACAGAGTTGGCATCCATACCAGAGGCAGTTTGCCAGGCGGCAAGTGTTGCCTGGGCACCGCCAAAGTATCCGACCGCATTGGTGCCGGCTGTTGATGTTATGTACAAGTCGTTGTTATTGGATGTTTTGGCACCACTATAGTACAGGCAATATTTAGTGCCGGTACCACCGCGCGATATGGAAACGATATTGTTCCTGATATTAAGACCGAGTGTACCTGTGGAGTAAATACCATAGGTGGTGCTGCCTGCTGTAGATGCTGTGTAATCACTAACTAAGGTATTGTGCAGTACATTGGTGTAGTTGTACGCGCTTAGATAGATGAAGTATTGCAGGCCGTTGGAATTCATATTGTACAGCAGGTTATTAGAGATCATATTCTCATTGCCCGCTGTTGAACTTACAATCTGATAAATGCCATAAACCGAACTGGTAGACGTTGGTGAGCTGGCAAAAGGATCGCGGATCTTGTTCTTGTCAATCGTCATGGCCGTGGTACCTGTAGTCATGTAGACACCGTAAAAAGTACTGAGCGTTGTGCGGGTTGGCCGTTCTATCGTAGAGCCTGAAAGGACCGTGCCGCTTGCATAAGAATTATAAAATCCGTAAAAATAGAAGTCTTTAATGTTGCAGTTAATAACGCGGTTGCCTAGTGCATTATTGGTGCTGCTGCCTATTATAACCGTATTGTAATAACCGCTGTTTATGGTGCAGTCCGTTATGATATTATAGTTGCCGGCGTTCCCGGAGCCGGTGCCTGATGTAGCAGATCCGCTGATCGAAAAAGGGACGTGCGCTAATGCCGTACCATTGGCCGGTGCGGTAAACGTACAGTTGTTGAACCGGTTGCTGTCGGCCTGGTTCCAGAGGTGACAGACAAGTGCATAAGAAGCACCGGTGCCAATAATGTTCAGATTATTAACCGTGATATAGTCGGCCCCGTTCAGTACCAGTGTATGTGGTGCTGTACTAAGCGTAGCGGCATAGGTCAGCGTATTGGCATTGCCATTAAAGGTAACGGTGTTCACCCTTGATGCGCCCGGAATGACGGGAATGGAAATTTGTTCGTTATAAGGTGCTGCACCGGCAACAACGTTAAAAACAATGGGGCCGGAGATACCACAACTGATGGCAGCCACTGCCGCTGTAAAGCTCTGGAAGTTGGTGGTGGTGCCCGGTGCTCCTGAGTTGATGGTATAAGTGCCACCGGGAAACAAAGAGCTGATCGTTACCATCACCGGTGTTGAGTAAGTAGTAGCAGAGCCGCAGGTCACAGCCGCACGGTAATAAAGCGTTGTAGTTGCAGACGTAGTAAAAGC